GTGTAAGGGTTGGGAATGATTGCTGCTATGCCCAGGAACACGATTGAATCCTTATAACTCCTTGAAACTTGCTAAAAAATCGAATCCGAATTTGTCAATTTTGTGGAAAATTTTGAGAGAATTAGGGTTACCGTTCTAGGTGTCTCTAGGTTTTTATTTCTGTGTGAGAGGCGTGCATATATGTTGGTCAATGAGGATCAAACAATATATGAGCCTTAAACCAATGCCATGAAGTCTTGAGATTTCCTTTTTATCACCATTAAAGCATTTGCCTTTTTTGTCCAAAACTTGAATTCCATGCTTGAAATAGGTCTTACACGAATTTGGTATGTGTTTCATGATGCATCAAGGCTATTCAAACTCAAAGATATCCTTTAATTAATTTCTTTGATTTTTATTTGAATTTTAAAGATTTAAAATGAATTAAATCAAATAAAATTAAATAAAAATAGAAAAATTAATCTTTAATCTTGAAATAAAACGTGGGACACGTGGGAGGCATGGAAAAGCTGAACCAAGTGGAAAAAGTGGGCCCTTTTTGTCAAAAATGAAATTTCAAGGATAGTTGACTTTGGCCATTTCACAAAAATTTCCCAACTTCTCCAATGCATATCTTGCTCAATTTTGATCATATGAAAATGTTCTTGGACATTTTGGAAAGGTCTTGAAGTTCTCTAACCAATTCCTTTGGTCCTATGTCATTTTGATTTACCAATATCAAGTTATGGTCTTTGACTTAAAGTGCCTTTTTGTTGACTTTTGAAAATGACCTATAATGTTGAAATTGATAACTTTTTGTGAGAGCATTTCTTGGACTTGTAATGTGAAGATGGGTTATAGGAAATGTCTTCCCCTTCAAAATGAGCATTGGATGGGATTTTTCTGATGAACCATGAAAAAGTTATGCCTTGGTCAAGTTACAGTTGACTTTTCAATTGTCCAAAAATAGAAACTTTTGACACCTTGATGATTTTTGAGCCATTCTTGTGAAATCATGGTCAAGATTTGACCAAATGATTATTGTGGCTTCAAAATAAGATGTTGACCAAAATTTTTGACTTTTGACTGCCAAATGACCATTTTGCCCCTGCAGTTGACTGTGGAGCAATTAGGGTTTTTGACTGTGCAACTTGGTGCTATGAGTCTTGTAACTTGACATGTAGATGCTTGACAATGTGTATAGGCATATGTGACTTGATTGAGCCCTTGAAAACCTCAACTTCCTTGCAAGAACCAAAACCCTAATTTGACTGGCTTAGGAGGATGGTTTGACTGTGCAACTCTTGAGTAGACTTGAGCAAATTGAGGTGATGCTTGTCAAAACTTTGAAGAATATGGGAGGGTAAATTTTGGGGTACAACAATATACATAAACAAAACCCTAAATAACACTAAAATTCATCTAATGCTAAGTATTATAAAAACTACAATTGCATTAATATTTTTTCATTTATAAGATGACCAATGATGTGTGATTGAGGTACTTTACTTATTTTCCATCATCTGTGTAATTCATCTAAGTTGTTTCATCTAAGTTGCAGGGACCCAATTGAGAATTTGAATCTAATTTATCTAAGTTGTTTCATGAGTGAATCTGTTTCTTTGTTTTCTTGACAATTGATATTATCTCACAATAACAACACACCACTACTAGACACAATCTCTAACACCGACAGCCTAAACATCACACCATCGGTCACCTTCGTTCCCTCTGATTCAGACCGATGAAAGCTACCATCACCGTCAATCCGTCCTTCGCTCAACCGCCTCTAGAACAACCACAAACACATATCAATCTTCTTTTCTTCATAACATGTAAAAAGAAAATAACAACTTCTTACAAATCCAAAACTCAATTCAATATTTTTTGCACAAATTCAAAAATAAGGGTGAAATAGAAGAAGATCCGTGACTAAGAAATTCCTTCGAACCACACACAATTAATCCACGCACCGGAGCGCACCTCCAATATCAACCAATCGAGAAACACTTCGCCTCCATGTTCCGTAACCTGCTGTTCATCTTATCCATCCGCCACAACATAATAAATTCGATCCAGGAAAAAACCCCACCAGAAATCAGTGCAGAGTAGCTACTTTTGTTCGCCACTGACCACCAATACCGGCGCAAGAGAGAGGGAGAGAGAGGCAGTGAAAGCGGTAAGAAAGGAAGAGGTAGAGGAAGAAAGGGTTATGCGAAACCATTATCCTCTTCATGTTGGTAACTGCCGTACAAAAGGTAGAGAAAGACTACATTTGGGAAGTAGTGGAATGGACAACCGTTTAGGAATTTCAACATTAATTATAGAAACAGTTACAAAACAGATGATGAATAGGGGAAGATGAAGAGGGAGGTTAAGGGAAGGTGGAGAGGGAGATTACAAAAGCGTAGAAGAATATACACGTTTGTGTTGCCTTTGGAACATAACAAGTTTGGAATCTCAAATAACCTATCCACGTGTTGTGATTTTAAAGCAAAAGGACAAAATTAACTTTTTGAGTAGATTTTATTTTCTTATATTATCTGATCTGACCTGATCAGAAATGGACCGTCACGGCTGGCTCCGAGCAGAAAGCTTTTTTGAACGAGGTGGGGGGGGGGGGTACCTGCAAGGCACTCCGATGCTAAAGTAAGTAGGAGTACGAGCAGATAATAGTAAGTTGAGGTTAGAATGATGAATACCTGACCCTCTGGAAACAGAGGGTATTTATAGCCCCCATCGCTGGGCCAAGGTTCCTTCATTGGGCCGGGCGGATTTGGCCCAATGGAGGAACTGCCAGGTTCTACGTGGGTAGTGGGGACTCGCACGTGGTCCCCTTCCTGGATGTTCTGCGTGAAGTGCGGGCGGACGAAGACGCGGTCTTTCCGGAGTATCGTTGGGGGAACGGTGGACTGAGTCTGCCCTAGCTGGGATGCTCGAGACAACGTCGAGCTGGACAGCAGGGTGTCGAGCTGGACGTCAAGACGTGGAGCTGGACGGCAGGGTGTCGAGCTGGACGTCAAGACGTGGAGCTGGACGGCAGGATGTCGAGCTGGACGTCAGGAGGTGGAGCTGGACATCATCACGTGGAGTTGGACAGCGGGATGTCGAGCTGGACATCAGGATGTCGAGCACGGATGTGACCCCTTTGCTCGGCGTGGTCCTCAGTAAGTCCCTTTGGACTGGGCCTTAGCAGTGCTTTTGGGCCTGTCGGGCCCAGTCCAGAACAGGAGCCCCCCAAGTCGTGGTTCCTTTGCGAGGAGCCATGACTTGAACCCAAGTTATTCCCTCGTTGAGGTCTCGTACCCGGGATAGAGGTGTGGGCCCTCGAGGGGCCTCCTCGTGTCGTGCTCGGAGACGTCCTCGGCGGTGGATGCGCGGAGGATCCTTACCGGGCGCGTCGGTCGAGCACACGAGGTATCTTTCGGGAACTGTGCCGCCACCCTATGGGGGTAGGGTCATCATTGCGTTGGGAGCAGCGCGTCGAGGAGATGGAGTCCGTGGTTGCCCGAGGGGACGTTTGGTATTCCACGTCATCACTATAAATAGGAACCTTGGGCCCCATAATACGTTTTCTGCTCTCTGTGCTCTCTCTGCTGCTGCTCTTCCAGACTTTCTCCAGTTGCGACTTTTCGTCACAGATTCTTCCATTTCGTAGCCAAATCCCACTCTTTGATCCAAGTAAGTGATCTATCTTCTTCATTTTTCTGTTTAGAATGCATGATTTCTGGCGTTTGTAGATATTTTAGGACCGTGCGCGTGGGATTAGCCCGATAAACTCATGCTTAGCCCGACACATTCATGTCTAGGACCGACAAACGCATGTTTGTGGCCGGCACATTCAGAGTTTTAGGTGATAAACTTCAGAGCTGCCCGGGGTCTTCATGATCCAGGGCGCCTGATTCATGATCGCGCCCGGTATGTTCATGGTCTTGGCCGTGGGCTTCATGGTGCGGCTCGCCATGTTCATACCTCGGGTCGACATGCTTGGAGAGTGGCCGCGCAGTTGGTTTGAGGAAGAACACCGGGTTCAGGACGTCGGGGAGGCAACCATTCGTGGAAACGGACTTATTTAGTCGTGTATGGGACGACATGATTTTGTCGAGCGTAGGACTTCGTGCTCAACTGACTGGTTTCCCGTGCTCTGCAGGTAACCATGGCGGACGAGCCGAGCTCCTCCAGACGCCGCGACCGTGAAGAACAGAGTGCCGATGAGTCGGTCACCCTGATTGATACCGTGACCGACCCTTTGCTGGAATGGGTGGGCGTCGAGTCGCGGGGGGTAGCGTCGGTATACAGCCGGGACGACCGACATCCATTCGATGTCATTGAAGAGGGTCAAGACCAGCCCGGCTTCCAGAAAAACTTCGTGGTCATGCTTCCGTCAACCCGTGCAAGGATTTGCTCGGTTTATCCGAATTACAGCCTCGCGATGTATGAGATCGCGTTCAAAGACCTGGGGCTGCGGCTGCCATTCACTGATTTCCAAGCCGGGGTCTTTATGCACTTGGAGCTGGCCCCGTCCCAGCTACACCCAAACTCTCTCGCCTTCATCCGGGCGTTTGAGTTGATGTGTCGCTACCTGAGGATCGGGGCGACCATCCCGCTTTTCTTCCGGATATTTCACCTGCAGCGTCAGTCCCGAGGAGGGAAACATAGTTGGGTCTCCCTGAAGCAGTCGAGGAGACTCTTTAAGATGTATATGGACTCCGTGAGGGGGTTTAAAGACAAGTGGTACGTGGTACGGCCAGTTACCGACGCTGCTTTAAATTCCCTTTTCGAGGAGGAGGGGCCGGTGAGCGACGATGATGGGGAGGCGATGATGGGCGACGATGGGAACCCTGTGTTGGGTCGTAGGGCTAAAATCCCGGTGTACTGGATGTCCCGGCATTACGAGCATGGGACGGGTTATTACCATACCTCCGCCGGGGACATGTGCTCGGAAGACGAGCAGGCGTACGACGCTCTTTGCCGGTTTGTCGACAGTTTCCATCCCGCCCGATGGGTTACACGGGAAGGGGATGATATCTTGGATAAAGATGGTTACCCAACGTTCGAGTCCCGTCCGATTGACACCAAGGCGCTGGTGGAGTGCCCGACATACAGGCAGGCTGCCCGCCTGTTAGGTTGTTTGTTGCTTGAAATTCTTTGTTCGTCATTTATTTGTGAAGTTTGTCGACACTGACCTAACCTTTATTTTGTGCAGGTACGATGGCTAGTCGACATGAAAGGCTCTTGAAATTATCCTGCGACCAGAGGCGAGGCAGGAGGGTCGTGAAGGCCCCACAGGCGACGAGAATGGGCCCACCACACAGTCCAAATGCTCCTCAGCCGGCGAGGGTGGTCTCGCCGTCGAGCTCGGGGCCCGCGTCGGATCCAGAAGTCGAGGAGATCGACCCCAGTGCCGTTTTGACGCAGAGGAAGAGGACTCGTGTGAAAGGTGGTCCGACTGTCGGCGAGGACGCCGGTGCTGTTAAATCTTTCGCCTTCCCCCCTTGCTTCGAAGAGGCGGGCTTTTTCGAGCGATTCCCTCCGACAGTGGTTGCCCATGAAGCTGCGGCCATAAAAAAGATGAGTAAAGAGGAACGGAAGGCGTATCTGGCCGCCATCGTGGATGGGCTGGTAAAAATGGCCGAAATGGCTTTGGTGCTATCCGAGGATGGAGGGGATTCTGCCCGTGTTGAAGAACTCGAGCAGGAGAAGGCGGCCCTGACCGCGAGCTCACGGAAGTTGAAGGTCGCTCTGGAACGCTCCGAGGGGATGTTCCGAGAGCAGACTACGATGCTCGATGCTGAGAGGGAGATGTTGACCCTGGAGAAGGAGAAGTCGGGGAAGTTGACCGAGGAAGGGGAGCTTCTTCGGGCAGACAGGGATCGCCTGGGGGCTGAAGTCGAACGCTTGGCCAAACAGGTCGAGGAAATGAATGCTGCCCTGCAACCTGCCGAGGACGAGCCCGAGGACCTCGTAGCTTTGAAGAGTCGGGTGGAGCTGGTCGCTCACATCCGGCTCCTCGAGGTAGACTGCGTCGGTGCCCTGGAGGACGGGTTCAACTCTGCGGTCGGTCAACTCTCCTTGCTAAACCCCGACCTGGTCACTGAGGGTATCGGCCACACACACCAGATCGTGGATGGCGCGATCGTTCCTCCGCCCGACTCTCCAAACACCGACAATGATGATTCCGTGGAGGTCTGAATAGGATAGCGGGCCTGCGTGCCCTTGATATTTGTATTCTTTGGGCCTGCGTGCCCGTTTATTGTACGTTATGAACATCGCCGGCCTTCTTGGTCGGTTTGTTACTGTTTTGTTGCCTTCGGGCATTTATATCTGCTGTTTTACATTTTGGATTTTTTGCCCTTGTTTGAAATCATATGTTTGCATGAATTTTCAGCCTAAGTCCCAGGCCCGAGGAGTGCCCGTAAGTGGCTTTGATTTGGTGAGCGAGTCTGCCCGCCTCCGTTTGTATGCGTTCCCGGCCCTATTTCAATTGGCCGGAGTCACCTAAGTGTTGTGCTCGAGGGGAGAGATTTTTCTTTTGACCCTGGTAGATGGTCCGTTGTTCTTGACGAAATGTCGGGCATTTCGGAGCGAAGTTGCTCAGTCGGGCGTGGAGCCCGTTAGGGACGCTTCGCCCTTGGCGTGAACTGCCCATCGCGAGCTGGGTGTTCTGCCTTATGGGCACGACGACGGTGGGGCTCGGTATAGCTGTCCACGTCGGGCACTATCGATCGTCATCGTTTACCGCGCGATGTTGTGCCATTTTGGTCGCATGTCGGGCTTGTACCTTAGCCTTATACGAAATTGGACGTTTTTCCTCGTTGACCGAGCGCGGGTGCTGCTGGTCGAGGGTCCCAGGTGTTGATAGTTTCTAACTGTAGTACTGCTTTAGCTTAGCAACATTCCAAGGTCGTGGTAATGGCTCTCCGTCTAACTGCTCGAGGTAGTACGCCCCGGTACCCGTGGTGTCGTGGACGCGGTAAGGTCCTTCCCAGTTCGCGGCCAACTTCCCTTCGCGGGAATCTTTCTGGTTCCTGCGTAGTACCAGGCTGCCTATTTCGAACTCGCGCTTGATGACCTTGCTGTTATGGCGCAGAGCCACTCGTTGTTTTAGGGTGGCTTCGCGCAGGGCAGCACCCGATCAGATTTCCTCGACAAGGTCGAGTTCATCCCTTAGTGCTTCGTCATTCATTTCTTTGTCGAGGGGTTCCTCCGTTCGTCGGGATGGTTCCATGATTTCGACCGGGATGACAGCTTCGGTGCCGTAGGTCAGTCGGAATGGTGTTTCACCCGTCGTTGAGTGGGGTGTGGTGCGGTATGCCCACAGGACGTTGTGGAGCTCCTCGACCCATCCTCTTTTGGCTTCGCCGAGTCGACGTTTGAGCCCTCGGAGGATGACTCTGTTCGCGGCTTCGGCTTGCCCGTTGGTCTGAGGGTGCTCGACCGACGTGAAATGTTGTTTGGTCCCCAGTTTGGTGACGAAGTCTCGGAACCCGTGGTCGGTGAACTGGGTACCGTTGTCGGTCACCAGGGCCTGCGGTATTCCGAACCTGGCGAGGACGTTTCTTTTGTAGAAATGGAGGATATTGTGTGAGGTGATTTTTGCGAGTGCCTCGGCCTCGATCCACTTCGTGAAGTAATCCACGGCGACGATTAGAAATTTGTTCTGGTAGGTTCCTTGCACGAAGGGCCCGAGGATATCCATGCCCCACCAGGCGAACGACCATGGGGACGACAATTTGTTCAGCTCGTGCGGGGGGGCGAGGTGCATATCCCCGTGCTTCTGGCACTTGTCACATTTTTTCACGTGTTCCTTGGCGTCTTGTTGCATCGTCGGCCAGTAGTATCCTGCTCAAAGGGCTTTCCTTGCCAAGGATTTACCGCCCATGTGCTGGGCGTTGATCCCTTCGTGTATCTCCCGCAGTACGTCGGGGATGGCGGACTCGTCGATGCATTTCAGGAGGGGAATGGAGAATCCTCTTCGGTACAGTTTCTGCTCGAGAACAACATAGGAACATGCTCGTCTCTTGATTATGGCAGCTTCGGCCTGGTTCGACGGGAGTTCTCCCTTTGTCAGGAAATTATAAACCGGGGTCATCCAGGACGTGGCGTCCCCAATGGCGTGGATCTCGACCGTAGTCGAAGATGATTTGATGCTCGGTCATGCCAGAGATTCCTGGATGACGGATTTATTCCCGCCCTTCTTTCGTGTGCTCGCGAGTTTGGACAATATGTCCGCCCTCGTGTTTTGCTCGCGGGGAACATGAGAAATTTCTGCACGTACGAACTTCGTCATTTGTTTTTTGACTAAGTTCAAGTACTCAATGAGGTTGTCATTTTTGGCCTGGTAGCTTCCCTGTACTTGAGAGGCGACGAGCTGGGAGTCGGTGTAAATTTGAGCTTCGCGGGCTCCTAGGTCCTCGGCTAATCTCAGTCCTGCGAGTAGGGCTTCGTATTCTGCCTGGTTATTTGACGTCGGGAAGGAGAGAACCAAGGAGTGCTCAATTACTACACCTTCTTCGTTTTCCAGTAGGATCCCTGCGCCGCTTCCGGACGAGCTGGAGGCTCCGTCGACGAAGATGGTCCACTTGTGTTCCTTCCCCGGGGGTAGGTCGTGAGTGGTCATCTCTGCGACGAAGTCGGCCAAGGCTTGTGCTTTCAGGGCCTTCCTGCTCTCGTACTGAATGTCGAATTCGGAGAGTTCCAAGGACCACTTCAGCATTCTGCCTGCCATATCTGGCCGACCCAGGAGTTTCCTCACCGGCTGATCGGTTCGCACGATGATTGTGTGGGCTAGAAAGTAGTGTCTGAGTCTCCTCGCAGCATTGACGAGGGCCAGAGCAACCTTTTCTATCTGTTGATATCTGCTTTCGGGGCCTTGTAAGGCTTTTCTCGTGAAATAGACAGGTTTCTGCCCGTCAGGGGTTTCGCGGACAAGGGCTGCGCTGATGGCTTCGTTCGAAACGGCCAAGTATAAGTATAGTGGTTCTCCGTCGTCTGGTCGAGACAACACGGGCGGTTGAGATAGGCTCTGCTTCAGATGGCGAAGTGCGTGCTCACATTCCTCGTTCCATTTGAATGCTGCTTCCTTTCGGAGGAGCTTGAAGAAGGGGAGGGCGTGCTGAGCGGACTTCGCGACGAAACGGGACAGCGACGTCAACATGCCGTTCATGATTTGTATCGACTTCTTCGACGTCGGTGTCGGGAGGTCGGAGAACGCTCGACATTTGTCGGGGTTGGCTTCAATCCCTCGTTCTGTTAGATAGAATCCTAGGAATTTTCCTGCCTTAACCCCGAACGTGCACTTCTCGGGGTTGAACCTCATTTTGCACTGTCTTGCTTGGGCGAAGACTGTCTTGAGATGAGCCGCGTGATCGGTGTCTGCTCGGGATTTGACGATCATGTCGTCCATATATACCTCAAGCATGTCGCCAATCTGTTTGTTGAACACTTTGTTCATCATGCGTTGGTAAGTTGCACCGACGTTCTTCAGTCCGAAGGGCATTACGTTGTAGTAATAGTTGCCCGAGCTGGTCATGAACGCCGTGCAGCGTTTGTCGCCCAGAGCCATTGGGATTTGATTATATCCCGAATAGGCGTCCATGAACGACAAAGTCTTGTAGCCGGCCGAATTGTCGACCAGCATGTCTATGTTAGGTAGAGGAAAAGCATCCTTCGGGCAAGCCCGGTTGAGGTCGGTATAGTCAACACACATTCTCCATTTTCCATTATTCTTTTTAACAAGTACAACATTTGACAGCCAGGTGGAATACCGGGCTTCAGAAATAAAATTTGCCTCTAGGAGGTCTTTTACAGCTTTTTCAGCAGCCTCCGTTTTTTCTGGAGACTGCCTACGCCTACGTTGTACTACGGCCTTGGCGGCTGGATCAATGGCGAGGTGATGACAGGCGACCTCAGGGTCGAGTCCGGGCATCTCTGCAGCGCTCCATGCAAAGAGATCAGCATTCTCGCGCAGACAGGCCTTGATTTGCTTCCTGGCCAAGTCGACGAGGTCTTTGCCAATCTTCACTCCCTTGGTCGGGTCTGCTCCGAGGGGAACGAGTTCAAAATCACCGTCCGGAATAGGTCGGAGTGGGATTTGCTCGCTGCTGGATGGCTCGTCTTGGTCGAAGCGAGCGTCGAGGGCTATGGAGTCGACCTTTGGTGGAGCCTTCTGGACTTCTTCCTCGGGGGATGCTCTGTCGGGCTCCTGCTTTGTCCTCTTGGTGGGTCTGGTCCCCACGTCGACGGTATCCCGTCCCCTTGAAGCGGCGTTGAAGCACCTGCGGGAAGCGGCAAGGTCTCCCTGGATGGTGGCTACCCTTGCCCTTTTGGTGTAGAACTTCATTTTTAGATGGACAGTTGAGGGCACCGCTGTCAGCTCCGCCAATGTCGGCCTCCCCAAGATGCAATTGTATAGGTACGGGTAATCAATGACGAGGAAGCGGACCTTAACCTGTCTTGTAGCTGTTCCTTCCCCGAACGTCACCAGGAGCTCGACATAACCCCAGGGTTTGGAATTCGAGCCGTTGAAGCCTTGAAGATCCGAACCCACATACAGAGAGAGGTGTGAGTCGTCCAGTTGCAAGGTCTGGAACAGCTGGTTGTACATCACGTCGACGGAACTCCCTTCGTCGACCAGGATGCGATGCACGTCAAAATTGGCCATCTTTGCCCTTATCAGCAAGGGGATGACTGCGTTCGGGGCTCCGCCGGGGAGTTCTTCTAGGTAGAAGGTGATGGGCTCTGACCTGCCCTTCACCTTTTCGAACGTCACAGTTTGTGGGGGAGCTGTGTCGACCAGTTCGTCCAACTTCCTCTTGGCCGAATTGATGGTGAGGTCGTTGAACCCGCCCCCGTTGATGACCATGGCGGAGGGGAAGTATTCCCACCTGCTGTGTGTTGTCAGGGGCTCCTGCAGGAGCTCGGGAACGTCGAAATCCTCGGGCCTGGTTACCGAGAAGGCGGTCTGGATTGGTACCGACTCGTCTGATGGTCGGGCATCCTCTTCGGGCTCCTTAGCTTCATGGGCGTCACGACGGGGAGCGTCGTTTCGCCTGTACTGTGCGAGCCTCCCTCCTTTGATGAGGGTTTCAATGGCGTCCTTGAGGTGGACGCAGTCCTCTGTCAAATGGCCATGACTCCTATGGTATTGACAGTATTTATTTTTGTCTGCCCCTGGCTTGGCGGGAGCAGGTCGGGGACGCTTGACGCCACCGTCTCTGAAATCTGTGCTAGCACACTCCGCCAAGATACGCTCGCGGGAAGCCGTGAGTGGAGTGTACTCGGTGAAACGGCCCGAGGGGCCCCTTTGTTCCCGGACCTCCCGGGGTCGATCTTCCTTCCTTTTCTCCCTGGTGCGTCGGGGAGGAGGGTCTTGTCGCGAGCTGCTGCTATGATTGGGAGCGCGAGCCCTGGAGTCTCGTGCCCTGTTGGCAGCTTCTCTCTCCTCGTATTCCATGTATGCTCGGGCTTTGTCGAGGAGAGCATCAAAAGTTGCAGGTGGCT